CAGAATGTTTCAACAGCTTGCAACAAGGGCCTCTCACCCCCAGGCAGGTAGAGAAATACAGGTGGGTGGGGAGGGAGCACTATTTGGCTCCTTTACTGAGTTGTAACTGACATACAATAAAATGTACAGTTAGTTCTCACATATGCGTATACCTATGAAACCACTACCAGAATCAAGAAACTGAATTTATCCATCGCTTTGTGGGAAGGGTTTTGGTCGCTACAGTAATGAGGAGATATTACTGGCATGGCCTGGGGATGACAAATATTCAGTCTTGCACAAAGCATTAGCTCATCCAAAAAAAGTCAATAGCACATTTGTTGAGAAACACTGGGACCAAGCCTTTGCTAAACCAAAGAAGAAACAGTCCAGATGAGGAAACTGAGGCAAGACCACATGTGAGCTTCTTGTTTCCATGTAATGCATCTGGAGCATATATGTTCTTTTTAAATTATTATTGGAGTAATAATTATCTTTCCAATTATTATTGGAATATAGTTTTTCCAGAAAAACATCTACTTCTGACTATGCTAAAGGCTTTGACTGTGTGGATCACAACAAACTGTGGAAAATTCTTAAAGAGATGGGAATACCAGACTACCTTAGCTGCCTCCTGAGAAACCTGTACGCAGGTCAAGAAGCAACAGTTAGAACCAGACATGGAACAATGGACTGGTTCAAAATTGGAAAAGGAGTATGTCAAGGCTGTATATTGTCACCCTGTTTATTTAACTTATATGCAGAGTACATCATGCGAAATGCCAGGCTGGATGAAGCACAAGTAGGATCAAGATTGCTGGGAGAAATATCAATAACCTCAGATACACAGATGGCACCACCCTTATGACAGAAACCGAAGAGGAACTAAAGAGCCCCTTGATGAAGGTGAAAGAGGAGAGTGATAAAGCTGGCTTAAAACTCAATGTTCAAAAAATGAAGATCATGGCATCCAGGCCCATCACTTCGTGGCAAATAGATGGGGAAACAATGGAAACAGTGAGTGACTTTATTTTCTTGGGCTCCAAAATCACTGCAGATGGTGACTGCAGCCATGAAGTTAAAACACGCTTGCTCCTTGGAAGAAAAAAGCTATGACAAACTTAGGCAGAATATTAAAAAGCAGAGACATTACTTGGCTGACAAAGGTCCATATAGTCAAAGCTACGGGTTGTTCAGTAGTCAGGTATGGATGTGCAAGTTGGACCATAAAGAGGACTGAGCGCCAAAGAATTGATGCTTCTGAACTGTGGTGTTGGAGAAGACTCTTGAGAGTTCCATGGACTGCAAGGAGATTAAACCAGTCAATACTAAAGGAAATGAATCCTGAATATTCATTGGAGGGACTGATACTGAAGCTGAAGCTCCAATATTTAGGCCACCTGATGTAACGAGCGGACTCACTGGAAAAGACCCTGATGCTGGGAAAGATTGAAGGCAGGAGGAGAAGGGGATGACAGAGAATAAGATGGTTGGATGGCATCACCAACTCAATGGACATGAGTTTGAGCAAGCTTCGGGAGATGGTGAAAGACAGGGAAGCCTGGCATGGTGCAATCCATGGGGTTGTAGAGAGTCGGACACGACTGACTGACTGACTGAACAACAATAGTTGCTTTACACTGCTGTGTCAGTTTTGGCTGTAAAGTGAATTTGTATATATATATATATATATATAATCCTTCTTTTTTGGATTTCTGTCCCATTTAGTTCACCACAGAGCACCGAATAAAGTTCCTTGTACTGTGTGTTCTTTAAACAAGCAATGCACTATTTGCTTAGATTCTAGTCTGAATCAAATGATTCATGTCATATTGACATTTAAAAGCGATACAAACTCTGAATGATATATCTGAATGTGACAGTGGACTCTTCTCAATAGGACCAGTTAGCTGGGTGCTCCCTGCCCCAGGGACATGCCTGTCACTCAGTGGCTGCTGCTGCTTTCTTGGAACACAGAGTTAAGGTCAAAGATGCAAAATCCAGGTAGGTACAACTTTGGTTCTCTATTCCTGAAGAAAAAAATCTCATTTTGTCTTAATCATAAAGATGCAGTATGCTTATGATAAACTGTCCATGAACAAAAGGAATCAAAACACTCAGAAGGGCCTGAAAACAGTGTTAGTTGCTCAGCTGTGTCCGACTCTTTGCGACCCCATGGACTGTAGCCTCTGTCCATGGAATTCTCCAGGCAAGGCTACTGGAGTGGGTAGCCATTTCCTTCTCCAGGAGATCTTCCTCACCCAGGAATTGAATGGGATCGCCCACAATGCAGGCAGATTCTTGACAGTCTGAGCCACCAGGGAAGCCCCCTAAAAGTGTCTATGAAGACCTTATTTATGCACTCCTTGTTGTATGGTATCTCATAGAGTGCCAGGTACAATTCAGCTGTTAAATATATATAATTTTTATATTTAAGATATTAATTTAAAAATCACTTGGGGTTTTATGTGCGCTATGAACAAAATTTGTTATCTATTAGAACAATTGTTACTCTAAAATGGAAGCAACGTGCCAGCTCAGTGATTCTCAAACTTTTATGTGCTTAGAGTCACCTGGAGCAATTATTATATGAATTCCTAGGTCCTAGCCCCAGAGTTTCTAATTTTGTTGATCTGGGAGCAGGGAGCCCAAGAACCTGCATGTCTAACTAGTTCTAGATGATGTTGATGCTGCAGGCCTGAGGACCATATGCTTCCTCCTGGTGCCCATCAACGGTTGGCTCTGTTGATTGGACAGTGTGAGTAGAAGAGATCAGCCAGGATGGAACATCCTGCTCTTTGTACACCCACCTTTGCTATAACTGCTCTAGTGCCCTAACTCACTGCCAGCCATCCTTCCACAAAAGGACTCAAAAAAAAAAAAGGTTGAATGGTTTGAGTAGAGGCCCCAGAAGACCATGAGAATTAGAATACTCTGTAAACACATTTAAAAGAATTTGAGCCTAACAGAACATACCAAAAGATTAAGATAAACTCATGACCTCCTGACTTTAAAGAGGAAAAAATGGTTAATACATACTTTTTTGAATGATAGACTGTTAAAAAACACAAAGGACAATTTCCAGCCACAGAGAGAATAACAATGTCATGAACAGACAGGATTTTATCTTAGGGCTTGGGGTTGTCCATATTCTGCATGAAAACTAGTTCTCATAACTGCAAGGGAAAGAGAAAGAGGCAAACTTCTAACCTTTCATAGGCCAACTTTGTCCTTTAGCTAAGAGGATTTAAAGCAAAATGAGGCACAGATGAACCCACTTTCAGGGCAAGAATAGAGATGCAGATGTAGAGAAAGGACATGTGGACACAGGGGAGAAGGGAAGGGTGGGACGAATTGGGAAATCGGGATTGACATGTATACACTACCATGTGTAAAATAGCTAGCTAGTGGGAACCCACCGTACAGCACGGGAAGCTCAGCTCAGGGCTCTGTGATGACCTAGATGGGTGGAGGAGGATGGGAGGGAGGGGATATATGTATACACACAGCTGATATACTTCACTGTACAGTAGAAAGTAACAAAACATTGGGGTAAAGTGATTATATTCCAAGTCAAAAAATAATGCTGAGATGATAAATTTTAAAAGAACGAGGCTGTCTGGGTTTATAGCTGACTTTCTTTATGTGCTCTGTTGTGACTACATGGACACACTCATCTAAAGCTTTTATTTCTAGGAAGTTGACGCCTGGACAAAGAAATAAAAGTAAGTACCATTTCCCTGAAGATTTTTAAAGACAATGAAAACATGGAGAGGAGAAGTGTCACCCAACCATTCTCATTTGGGCCTAGCAATAATTGATAATAAAACTGGCTTATTTTAGAGAGAAACATTTACTTTAAAATAAATGACAAGTCAATCCTTATAGCCACAAAGACAATATAATTGCTTCCAAACCCCTAAGTTGAGTATCTATCTTCTTTCTTTGAAAAGTCCTGCCAGTGGTAGTGACAGTTCCAATTTAATAGTGAGTACTTCTCTTCTTGCATTAACTGAGCATTAGACTTTTAAATTATTTGTTTTATTTTGGTATAGAATGCATAATATAAATTTACCATCTCACCCATTTTTAAACGTATACTTATGTGGCATATGTCCATTCACACTGTTGTGCAACCATCACTATCATCCATCTCAGATTTATTTAATTGATTTATCCCCCCAGTATGGGGCTTCCCAGGTGGCACTAGTGGTAAAAAAAACAAACAAACAAACACTCGACTGCCAATACAGGAGACATTAAGAGATGTGAGTTTGATCCTGGGTCGGGAAGATCCCATGGAGGAGGGCATAGTAACCCACTCCAGTATTCTTGCCTGGGAAATCCTATGCACAAAGGAGGCTGGTGGGCTACAGTCCGTAAAGTCGCAAAGAATCAGACACGACTGAAGTGACTTGGCACGTTAGCATGCACATGATAAAGTTAGAGGTGACATGTACGGGTAACTTGCTGTCTTTTCAAATATGCTGTCAACATAGGGGAATTCCCTTAAGTTTTCTGGAGGAGACTTAAAAGAGGAAACACATGAGAATATTTAGATAGCAGAACCAATTACGGGTTCCCCAACTCATTTCTTAAATTAAGGCTACAGCAAAAACTTGCCACCATCTGCTGCGTCCCAGGTGCCCTCTCTTTCTAAACCTATGCAGACATCACTTTGTGATTATTCTACTCTTTCCCACTGAATTTCAAAGTCTTTCTCCATACAGTCTTTCAGGCATTATTACAACTAATTAATTACAGCTGACCCATAGGATGAACTCTATTTACCATCTGCTATAAAAATGTAGGCCATGTTAAAAAAAAATGCAAGCCATTTAATGCAACCGAAAGTAATAATTACTTGGATTACTTTTGGGCACACCAAGGTCCAACATCAGTACATGATGTACACATGCATGGGTAGAAAAGTCTTGTACCAGTAGAAAAGTCTTCAATATGGGGATGTCACAAGAAAGGTTCCTTAGCATGGAAATCATCACAATAAACAATGTTCTTACCTGGGCAGGAACACACTTTCCACCACATAAAAATCTTGCATGAGAACATCTCGGTCTGGCTTGGAGGTGAGATTACCCACTGTGTATCCTATTCCCAGCTGAATAGCACCTTTGATGGCAGATGATGCAGTCTGCAGGGAAAACAAGGATTTCAGCGTTAGCCTCAATAGTCGGGACCTTGTTCAATGTCACAAGTAGCAAAAACAGGAGAGTGAGGTTAGATTTCTTCTCTTGTTCCTAAGCAACAAGGAAGCTAGGTTTAGAAAGATGACAGGATGCTTCTTTTGATGGAGAATCCTTTCCAAACATCAAGGACCTTTCTTTCCATGAAATTATTTTGGTGGTTATCTTTCCTATAAATGTTCCTAAGGTCAAATTACTGTCCAAAATCTCCATCTTTCTTTTATTAAGAACTTAAAAACTTTCAAAATATGGCATTATAATTTCTACCAAAGGATAATTGGTACAGTCACATTTTTAAAAAATCAGAAGTTCTGTAACATATCTATGGGTCAGGAAGAGTATTTTGGCTTCATAAGAAATGAGAGACTAAAAAATAATTTCAGCCTTTGGAATACACAAAATTTAATTTGAAAATTGCTTACTAGTCTTGCCAAGGGTCCAAAATCAAAGTTTCCTTCACTGATCTATAATAAAACACAGAGGTTTGGAACCTCAATATTTTAAATTTACTGCTTTTCTAATATTATTCCACAGTTAAGCTGACATAATGTTAACTTGGAGGAATGACATATATATTTGTGTGTGTGCACACGTGTGCATGTACATGTAAATAGTTTTAACCAACAAACATAATAGGAGAAATAGAATAACTTAATTTAGGAAAATCAGAATACACTCTTCTTAATGGTGCAAGTGTGGCATATTCTTTTTACGCCTTGCAATGTTTAATATAGTACACACTGGGACAGAAAAGCCTAGCAGGTTACAGTCTATTGGTTGCATAGAGTCCAACACAACAGAGCGATCATCACTCTCACTCAGACAGTGGGAACTAAATAAATACTTAAATCACTGGTTCTCAGTCGGGGCATTTGACATTGGAGACATTTTTTAGTTGTCGTAACTGGTGGTGGTAGTGCTATTGGCATCTAGAGGGTAGAGGTCAGGAATGCTGTTACAACATCCTACAATGCACAGGATAGCTTCTCATAACAACAAATTATCAAGCCCCAAATATTAGTGCTGAGGCTAAAAAACCATGCCTTAAAATGAATGTAGTAAAGATCACCTGCTTAATAAAAAATATTCTTTTTGAGTTAACATTTTCACTTAGCAAGTCCAAGACCCATTTCCATCTTCCCAGATGCTGCTGTTTTTTAAAAAAAATTTCTTCATGCTTTTAACATCAAAAAAATCTCTTCTTGAAAAAAATGTATCCTCTTGATTTCTGTGATAGAACACAGTTGTGTCCATGTCTACCTTTTCTGATGGTCTCTCATTTCTCCACTAAATTCTCATATTTTGTTTGCTGTAATTGATGTCCCTAAAAGTTGGATCCTTGATTCTCAAATTTCCTTAGTTATGTAGATGATCAATACATTCCTAATGGTTTCAAATACTGGCTCCATGTATATGACTTTCAGAACCGCCTTGGACACTGTTTTATCATCACAAACACAATAAATGTGGCACCATACCATTATGTTACAGCCAATCCCCTGGTGTCCCTCTCCCTAAGCTCTGTAATCCTGTCACTGAAGGGTGAACCCCAAGCAAACCACATCTTACGTAGGACTGGGTCTCCAGGAAATATTTGCTGACTGGGCCTGAAATGGTCATGGTCATTCATACGGCTCAGTCACTTCCACTATACAATCAGTAACCCTCACTATCCCATGGAGTCATCATTCAATCGTTCTGCTTATTTCACTGCAAATATCATATCAGCCTTAGTGTGAGGACAACTATTATATCTATCCCCTTCTGTGCAGTTAAGAGAAACATCCTGGGGCTTTTCTTCTTTACATATGCCTTTTTACTTATGATCCCAGAGCAGCAAGATGTCAAGACTGAGAGTCAAGCCCAAATAGTGCAACTAGTACTTCAAAAACAAAAAGCTGCTATTTTAATCTTCCCACTGCGAGTTCAGCAATGCCACCAGTTGGCATCAGTGACCTTTTGTACCGATAGCTCTGACTTCTGAAGGCTGAAATGAATTTTTCTCATTTTAACCTCACATAAAAATTCAAAAGGTTTCTCTTCTCCTATCTGTCACACAGGGCAGTATGGCACAGGACGTGACATCAGCATTTTCCAGAAGACACCTACGGTCTGAAACTTTCTATTCCAGATCTATCAACAGACGCACACACTCTCAAACAGTTTTTCCTTCCCTTTACCACACCCCTGACTCTGCTTCCAGAAATACCTGTATTTCTGCTTAATTCAGTCATTTAGTATGCTTCTTGGACTGGAACACATGTGAAACATGGGATGCCCAATTCCTTGTTAATCACCCTTCAGTCTTACCCCAGAGAAAGCAATGGCACCCCACTGCAGTACTCTTGCCTGGAAAATCCCATGGATGGAGGAGCCTGGTAGGCTGCGGTCCATGGGGTCGCTAAGAGTTGGACACGACTGAGCATCTTCACTTTCACTTTTCACTTTCATGCATTGGAGAAGGAAATGGCAACCCACTCCAGTGTTCTTGCCTGGAGAATCCCAGGGACAGGGGAGCCTGGTGGGCTGCCATCTATGGAATCACAAAGAGTCGGACACAACTGAAGCGACTTAGCAGCAGTAGCAGCAGTCTTATCCCACCCCCAGCAACAGAAGGTGGTCAAAGTTGCAGCAGTCTATATCTGGTACTTGCAAACTTTAGAAAGTCTGAGAATCACTGGGTCATTTGTTAAAACGGACCAAAACCACAACTATGGAGAGTGTAAGAAGATCAGTGCTTGCCAGGGGGTTGGGGAGAGGAAGTAGAATACAGACGATTTTCAGGGCAGGGAAAACACTCTACACAATTCCTTTATGATGGTGTGTCATGCATGCTCCTTCGTGTCTCTTTGTGACTCCATGGACTACAGCCCACCAGGCTTCTCTGTGCATGGAATTTTCCAGGCAAGAATACTGGAGTGGGTTGCCTTTTCCTTCTCCAGGGGCTCTTTCCGACCCACGGATCGAACCCACATCCCTTGAGTCTCCTGCATTGTCAGGTGGATTCTTTACCACTGAGCCACCTGGGAAAGTCCACTTTTATGATGGATATACATAATGATGAATTTTTCTGAACCCATAGAATGTACTCCATCAAGAGTGAGCCAAAATATAAACTGTGGACTTTGGGTGATTATGATGTGTCCATGTAGGTTCATCAGTTGTAACAGTGAAAAACTCTGGTGGGGGATGTTGACAATGGGCAGGCTGTGCATGTGTGGATACAGGGGGTGGTGGGAAATTTCTATATCTTCCTCTCAATTTTTTGGTTAACCTACAACTGCTCTAAAGAACAAATCTTTATAAAAATGTCAGCAAGCACTGAAAAACAAGAACCAAAGTGACGTATGGATTGCATCTCCAGAATTTCTGATTTGGAAAGTCTGCAGTGAGGCTCAAAAACTTGCTCTTGCTCTAAGGAGGATCAAGAAACTTTTTTCTCCTATGGTATAAGATTGAATTTTGAGTTCCTGAAGGAATAATATTTTGGAAAGGAGCTCACTGACTGTTTAGTTAAATAAAAAAAACAGACTTATAATAATACTACTACTTTCTTTTCATGCTCCTTAAAATTCAAGTGCTCTGAAGACAGAAATAAGAGAAGTCTTAATAAAAGTGAATATTTTTTAATCAACTATTTGTGCCAGGGACTTGACATATGGATAACAACAACAATAATCACAATCAATCATAATTATGGCATACACTTAAAGAGTGTTTACTGAAAACACTATGAGGCAATCACTATTCTAAGCGCTTTTGGTTATATTAACTATTCTATCCTCACCATAACCCCGTGAGGTAGGTACTATCATTATCTTCATTTTACTGACTCAAGTAGGTTTAGTTACTTACGCGAGGTCACACGGATAGCAAAGAGGTAGAGCTGGGACTCATACCTGGGAAGTTTGGCTCCACAGTCCAGATCCAGGTTATAAACAAGTACTGTGCTGCCTCTAACAGCAGAATCTCTGACCTCATTTAACCCTTTCAAGGACACTGAAGAGAGGGAGAATCACACCCATTTTACAGGTGGGGATTTGAAGCTCAGCAAGGTTATACGACTGCCTCTCTCACATTGTTAGCACATGGCAGAGTCTGCCTGCAAAGCCCATGCCGCTTCCCTGTCTCTTTTTTTCAAAATGAATCTAGAATCAAAGTCAGAAGCTCTGTTTTAAGCCTGGCTGTTTGACCTCAGCAAAGGAAGCAGCTGTGTGGGAGCCATGCCTTTTGATGAAATAGGAATAAAATATTTTATTTGCTACTAATCATACTCAATCATGGGTAATCCTAAAAGAAACCTGTAAACCACCTGGTAAACCAATATGAACATCTCTGTTAAAGTCACTACTAATAACATGGGGAGGTACAAACAAAAGGAGATATTTTGCTGCCAAGGGAGGCTGGCTACCTCTGGCTACCTCCTCCTCATCTCTGTGTAAGATTAAATGCTTTAGCGTAGATGCATTGGGTATAACTAAAAAGCATCTCGACTATTTCATGGATATGTCTGATTGCACTGTGGCACATGGTTTTCTAAGTTACCAGCAGGAAAGGCTGTACCACCTGGCATTTTCCTATTGGACATTAGGCACAGGGACCAAGATGGGAGAAACCACAGTATTTTCTGACACAGTCACTCTTGAGCAAGATGTGTTTTAAAGTTACAGAAACACTTAGAAATGCTAACGGGAGTTTCTGATTAGCAGACCAGTAAATCATGATGATTACAAACCTGCCCTGTGCATTGCAGGTTTGTCTTCTTCTAGAGCCAACAGTTCTTTCCTTTTAAACTTGAAGCCCACCAACAAGCCCTCTCAGACCAACATGCCTACCAACAGATCAGCTAACAGATCTAACTCATTAGCAGATTCAAATACACACACACATGTGGTCCTTCCAATTTTCTGTGTGGCTTTGCATATGCTCTAAACACGTTGATATGTAA